ATATAACCGCCTGGGCAGCTTCACGACTCAAAGGCCGTGCTGGTAATCTCGAGGTCCTGGGTTCGTTTCTTGACCCCGATTTCCGCATTTCGATTAGTCGAAATGCAAGGCCACCCACGCTCTCAGACTGTTTTTATTACATGACATTTAATTGATCTTGACGCCTTTTTATAGTATCGGCTACTCCTTTTCATCGTTGATAGAATCTCTGAAAAGCATAGCTATCAAAAAATCATGAGGAGCTGCTAGGTGTTCGCGGTCTCGTTCCTACCAACAGTGCTGGAATATGAAAAAAGTAAGTCGTCTATCCAAACAGGGAGGCCACTTCGTAAAGTTTGACAATTTCAGGTCACCCTGACCAAATGTACGACTGTGTAGCTGCTCAGTCCTGACAGAAAAAAAATATGTAATAATATTAAACATGTAGTTTATCTCCAGTGTGTCAGATGAGACTCATTAAGTTGCTACTTCTAAGTTGTAACGTCAAACTGTCACAGACAACCCACTGATGAGCCGGGGTCCACGCCTGCAATTATCGTGTGTGTGTGTGTGTGTTTGTGTGTGTGTGTGTGTGTGTGTGTGTGTGTGTGTGTGTGTGTGTGTGTGTGTGTGTGTGTGTGTCTGTGCGTGTGTGTGTTTAACGACTGACTTGTGTTTCCCCAGCATCAGGAAAATGTGTGTTATAGTGTAGATACACCAGCAAACGTGATCGCATCTGGAAATAGAAATACCCCCACGTAAATAACTGAAATGTGTGACTGCGTGAAACGATTAGATTATTAAAACTAAACTTTGTAGAGAAGCTAATTAAATCTAAAACCCTAAATAGGATAGGTACGGCCTAATTGCTGAGTAACATGCAATTTAATGCATAATTCCACTCAATGTCTCCATCACAACCATATTAGAAAGGATATTAAAACAGTCCTGCACTCGCGACTTTTGAAAGCGTTCCTCAAGGGTTGTAGAGTTTTCAGGCTACGTGAAGTATACATGTATAGTAAGAGCTGCAGCAAAATGAAAACGAAACGGGACACGGAGCCAACAAGCTGCAGGATGTACGTCAATAATGCGTAATACTGACGCACCCGACCGAAGGGGCAGAACGCACCGTGAGAGCTGTCAGCACGACACACCCATCGCTCCGAGGCAGATGAATACAATACCCATTGTTTTGGCCCACGTGCAACTGCGGAGTAGTGCAGTCACCACAGTACTGTCGATATAAGCGATTGCGAAATTTAGAATACCGAAAGCAATCTTTTGCTCAAACATTTCGTTTTTTTCTTTTCTTTTGTCATCAGCCAAACTATTAAACTTGCACGCACAAAAAAAATTAGCAGTGATTCGCCGAAGGGGTGCGAAGCCTAAAGGAACTGTGGAGCAGGGCAGACCTCTATGTTTTTCCTCCTTTCTCTCTTTTTTGTTCTCTTTCCCCGTTTCTTCTGTACTTTTATCCCTTTATGTCTGTCCATGTCAATTTTTCTTTCTGTTTTTTTTTCTTCCCTTCTGTGTCTTTATATTTCTCGCTTGCTTCCCTTTCTATTTTTATGCGTGGTTTATGCTGTCCTATTTCCCTAGCCACAGTAGTAATTTCTGCACTTTACATCATCGCTTGGTTAAACTCACTGCGTGCCTTCCTTTTTTCTCGTTTCTCTCTCTGTCTCTTACATCATCGTAAATGCTCACGAAGAACAACAGGAAGAAGACTTCAGTTTTGCGTGAGCACGTGATCAAAATGCTACGGCTGGCTATATGCTACATGTGGACCGTTCGAATCTTTCTTTCATCAAAAATGTTTTCAAAATTTTAATTTTTTCAGCCACCAGCACAACTAAGTTGCGAACATTACGAAAACTTTGCCCCATATTGTTCACTGACATTCCAGTACAATACGTGACTCCTTTCTGATGTTTTACCACGTCGTTAGTGAGAAAGAGAACAATCGAGAAAGTAGAGCAATGTACGAGCACAAGGGAAGACCACGCACCGGCTCTCTCCTTCTCTACTCACTCGTGTACTCAATCATACAATCGGAAAACTTGGCACTGGGCGCTGACGTGTATGCTATTTCATCGCGTTTTGACGTCTCGGCGCTCTAACTACGCAGTGTCGAATTACCCGCCCATCACGATTTTTCGCCCTACCAAGGGTGAGAAGCCGTACCCGTGAGAAACGCGCACATGCTTACTCACAGGTAAGCCGATGCCACGAAACCACGTGTTCGCCGAATGTTAAACATCGTCGAATGTTAAACGGCGCGATTTGCGTGCCTGAGTCACACGATAACGCGCACTGGCAATACGCGCGGCCAGAGCACGCAGTTTATTGCGAGCCTTTTCAGTGTCGTTATCAACAAGGGGTAGAAACCGAGAGTCTCGCGGTAGCGTCGGTGGGAGCAAGGCGCGGGCACCACTCCAAGTCAGCGTTGCTTCAGCCAGCGCGCATGCTGTCCGAAAAAAGGGCAGAGGAGGCTTCTGCCCAGATTTAAACTCTCTCAAGGCCACGAGTGCACGGCGGCCAGCTGGGGAACACAATGCTAGGGCGACACCGATTGACTGACTACCTGGGACGGGCGATGCCTTTCAGCTGTACCTCATTTGAGATTTCACAAATTTAAAAGGCGAGAAGGAGATCATCGACAGCGGAGCATTAGGGCGTTGGCTGCAGCATCCCTTCATTCCCCTGGGTCATGGGTCACCACGTTTCGTCCACAGTGCAGGCGTTTGCAGTGCCATCGGAGAAGCAGGCAGATCGTATAAGAAGCAAGTGCAACGCGACAGAGTTATAATATTCTCAAATCCCTGCCTGCCCTCAATAAATGCTGGCAACTGCTGAAATCTTTCGGCTCCTAACAACTCCGTCGTTGTGTTTAAAGTCTTCTTGCTTTTTTCCGGTACTCGTATGAAGCCTTCTTATCAATTACAACCTTTTTTGCGGAATTTGCCGATGCATTTCTTCGTGTGAAGTCAGTGGTTCTGTAAGTTTGGTAGCATGACACTCCATCTAACAAAATCGAGACGCTTCTCAGACATTATGACGTTACAATCATGTCTGAAATGTAAGGCGGCTTTGGGACATTAAACCCCACATGTCAATCAATCAATCAAATGTCAGAGAAGAGTCCGGCAATTTAGTTGCCTATTTAGCTCAGCATGCCTAGCTCACCAAGAGACTAGCAAATGCTGGCGACTGAAAGTAAACGCCGATCAACCAAATCGATTGGTGAAGTTCAGTCAATTGGTGAAATTAATCTTCAACGTATAGATGAAATCGGCGGTGGGAGGAATGTAGGAGAAAAAAAACGACTCATGATTTGTTGTTTTTGCTGCTACATTATGCATAAGCATAAAGTCACTCGTCCAAGAAATTTTTTTAACACGATGAGCAACTCTTAGCTGCAAACGCCCACTTCCGTTTGCAGCTAAGAGTGAACTCTGCTGGACATGCAGACGGTGCACAGAGACGAAGATGTCTGAAGGCACTGATGAAAAGTCCGTCAGAAATGTCTGGCTTCTTGTGGTATGACTTCAGCGCTTCCTGCAAAATGATCTTACTGCGGAAAGGCTCCTTGTCCTATGCTGCTGTTATCGCGTAGATCTTTGTCCTAACTCGCCCAATGTCAATGCCAGACATCGTCGCCTTAGCAACGATACTGCATTTACTTGCGGCCTAGTTCGTCGCGTTTCACAATATCTCACGCGGTGGCGCCATCGCTCGACCGTTACGCTGTCAAGGGCACCTCGAATATCTTCGGGTGCACTGTTACACATGGTGTCTCTATGAATTATCTCTGCGTACTCGTAATTATTTATCACAGCCTCGGAACTTACAGACCCCGTGTTACCTCGAGGCGGATCATATGTCACCTTGGTTTGAAGCACGTCTTGTCAACTGCTCTTTAATAGGCGTCCTTAGCCCTTGTTTGTGGTAAGGCTTGCAAAAAAATGCAATGGGGTTTTCTTTGCTTCAATTAGTCGGAAGCACACTAACAATGCTGCAAGCGCTTACTCCAACCTATAATGTCTCACGTTGCTCCCGGATAGGGGCGGCCAGTACACAAGGGCCACTTGCATACATATATATACATGTACACTTTGTATGGAAACTGTATATTTGTCTGAGAAGATGAATACACCTAAATTATAAAACATTTAAACGTACGCTTGAACAGCAGATAGGACAAAAAATGTAGTTGAAACAGAAAAGGGACGAATGTCAGTTGTTTTCCGTAAATTGTTTTCTCACATTTTGCACATGTGTGCCTCGCTGTAAGTGTCCTTGGTGCTGAAAAATTGAACACTGGTTCAAATCTTGCTGTGATGTGTGATGTCCTACTGCTTTAATTGTCTCACCTATTGCTCATCAGAGCAGTTAAAGAAAGAAAAAAGGAAAAAAGGAAGACAGAAAGAGAAAACAAAACAAAGAAAGAAAGGAAAGAGTAGGAAAGAAAGAAAGAAAGGAAAAAAGAAAGTGAACGAAAAGAGATAAAAGAAGAAAGAAAGATAAAGAAGTGAACATGCTTTTCGTTGCTGATACTGAATGATGTTTTAGTGCTTATATGTACGCAGAACTATAACTGCGTGCATGTGGACGCTGAATTGCAATTAGGACTCCGGTGAGTCCACTGTACATTGCCAAGCTATCTTTACTTGTTTCAGTGCAATATGTTTTTAGTTGTTCATTTCTTACTTTGGGAAACCTCTTTTTTTTCTTTTTTGCAGAACTTGTAGAAATGCAGTAACACCGGTAATATAAACCTCAACCTTTCCGCAGCAAAACAAGTTAAAATAAAACAGAACATATCAATGTTCTGCCGGCTAGCCTATACTTATATATGGTTGGCAAACATGCACGGGTTGTAGATGAGGAGACACAGAGAAAGAAAGATACGTAAGGGCACCAACTAAACAAACACCCTGCTGTAAAGTGGTGCCAAGCATCTTCCCATCGTCGGAACATTCAAGGACGTTTTTTTTTCTTTTGCTTTAATTGCGCAGTTCCTGACAGTTGCGATGTCGAGCTACCACCCGCCTGCTTCGGCACGGAGAAGGACGCCAGGAGACGGCTCTACCTGACCGCGGCGACGGCGTACATGGCCTCGATGTCCTTTGGCTTCGCGTGCACCTACTCTTCGCCCGCGTTGCCGGACATACGCAAGAGCATCCCGTTCTCGTCTTCCGACAGCGGCTGGTTCGGCTCTCTCGTCACCCTGGGAGCCGTGTTCGGTGGACTCGCCGGTGGTGAGTTCCCCTACCTACATTGTGCCGATCAAGTGTAATAATTTAGCGTTAAAAACACTAATCAAATGCTAAGCTATTCCAAAACTCTCCTGTATAATAGAGTGCAATGTGAAATAGCCAACTATCTGATGTTCCCTGCATCATATGTCCTATACTTCCTAGATTCCTTAAAAGACGACTCTCTACTGTGAAGTCGAAAGAAAAAAATTTGTTGTTGAGCGAAACTACTTGTACGATATGTTACCCAAGGTGATTCGTGGCGTCGCAATCACCATGAACTGTCGGAGCGCTAGCGTGGCAAGTGCGACTTCACGCTATACGTGATACCCTTGCGCAGAGGTGTCGAAGCTGCACTCGCCTGGAGGTTTTCCGTGGCGGCATCATGTGATCTGTCAAAGGTAACACTGCGTGCATAGTCTTAGCGAAACCAAGCCAGACAAACCTTAAATTCGCGATTACTAGGTTTGCAAGAGTTCAACCTGATTATGGCAACAACTTTATTAAAAACTCGGAGCCTGGGCCTGAGCCACCCGCGAGGACGACCGGAGGCCCTGTCTCCTCGCCGCCTCATGGGCTTGCTCAGCCAATTTTTATTTCCAGGCTCAGATTAAAAACCTTTAGGCTTTCTTCCATGGCTCAATTCCTGGAAATAGATTTGTGCGTGTGGGCTGCAGAACTTATTATTTGTCTTTAAGATGCCAGAAATGTTCTACAACTATTTCTATTTCACCTCGTGACCATTTAATATATTTGGCACGTGTATAATACATTTTCCAAGAAAGTTTAGGATAAGCATACAACAGTTCAGCAATAGTGGCCAAGAACTCACGCTGAATTTGTACTGAATCTGCTTATCTGCACATTGCAACCTTTAACACCTAACTGTAAGAATGGCGTATTTCCGTAACGGAAATACGTCACTAATATTTTGGTGCACCCCAGCATAACACGTGTTGGTGTAAAAGTTGATTTCGTTTTCTTGCATTTGCAGGTAAACTAGTCTCCACGGCCAAATATTTCTGATCAAAATTGAGCAGGACGTCCTCTTCTATCACCTCTTTCTAAATTCTACGTGTGTGGCCGATTTGATTCCAACATGCAACATTCTGGTTTACACATCTTTAGTGGAAGCTCTGCATACTGCAGCCCTTACTATATTTCACTATTTTCTTTCTGCACAGTGGCACCTTTCGCCCCACCACGGTGGTCTAGTGGCTAAGGTACTCATCTGCTGACCCGAAGGTCGCAGGATCGAATCCCGGTTGCGGCGGCTGCGTTTCCGATGGAGGCGGAAATGTTGTAGGCCCGTGTGCTCAGATTTGGGTGCACGTTAAAGAACCCCAGGTGGTCTAAATTTCCGGAGCCCTCCACTACGGCGTCTCTCATAATCAAATGGTGGTTTTGGGAGGTTAAACCCCACATATCAATCAATCATTCGAATGTTTTAGATGGGCTTATCAAGGGACAATTTCTTCGCTCACTTCCACTTAAATATGTTCGTAATCTTATCAATGATAGCTCTATCATGGTTACCAAGTCACATTTGACCATTCATGTTCTCTAAGCATACGCTGGTGCTGTGCATTGCATGTACTACATGCAATGCGCATCTGGAAACGGCGTTTTCAGATGCCTAGATGAAGTGGTTATACAAAGTAAAATAATAATCAGCTATAGTGTAGACGGTTATTTTCATAAATAAAGCATGAGAACTAAAATAAAGCGCTCATATAAATAAGGGGTGAGAACTTGGCTACAGAAAAGAAGATGAATAGCGTAAAAAATTGACTACGCACAAAGCATTTACCGGTATGGCAGCCACCATGTTTATTCTTACAGGAACTTGCTCAATATCACTCTATAAAGAATAAATATTCCAATGTGGTTTAAATATTTTGTTCGCAAAATTTTGCATGTTTTAACCCAGCACCACATGCAGAGCATCATAAGAAAAAGTTAATGTTTGAGCGTCATGCATATTTTTATTGAAAACATCCTACCCCTATAAAACGGGGGTGGAATCCTTCAGGACCCCAATAAAAGTTTTTCATCCATCCATCCATCATCGTGCTTGGACGGTAATATGGTTGTTTTGCTAAAACATATCAGGTACATTGTCATCTTATAATGAACAATTAAGAAAATGCTTGGTCAAACATTTTCGCGCGTAGATCTATTTCTCGCACTTTCGGGTGACGGGGTTGTTGAAACTCACCTTGGTCTTTTACCTGTCTGCGCAGGCCAGCTGGTGAACCTGGTCGGTCGACGTGGCTCGCTCTTCGCCGCCGCTGCCTGGTTCATGGCTGGCTGGTTGTGCATCGTGTTCGCGCCGTCCACCGCGTTGCTTTTCGCGGGTCGTGTATTGACCGGCATCGCCATGGGCATCACCGCTCTCACCGTGGCCGTCTTCATCTCCGAAATCAGCCCCTCCAGCATACGTGGCCTTCTCAACACCCTCGCCAACGCGATCCTCTGCGTCGGCATCCTGCTCACATTTTTCCTGGGAAAGTACCTCTCCTATCGCTGGCTGGCTGCCTTCTGCTTCACGCCGAGCGTCATCATGGCTCTGGCGCTCTTCTGGGTGCACGAATCACCACGCTGGCTGCTTCAAAAGGGACGCCGCGAGGCTGCCATAGCATCGCTGCACTTCTACCAGGGTCCCAAGATTGCCGAAGAACTGAGCGCGCTGGACGCGAACCTTGCCAATATGCAGCCTTTCGCACTGAGGGACGTAACCATGCCGTACATCTACAAGCCGTTCTTCTGCACACTTCTGCCCATGTTCATGCAGCAGGCGTCTGCTGTCTGCGTCATCCTCTTCTACGCGCAGGATATATTCGAGGACGCCGGAACGTCCATTTCCGCTGACGACTGCACGATTATCGTGGGTGCCATTCAAGTGGTCGTGCTCTTCGTCGCCACTGTGCTGGCCGACCGGTTGGGGCGCAAACTGCTTCTCATTGTCTCTTCGGTAGGATGCATTGCTAGCCTTACCCTTCTGGGCATTTCCTTCCACCTGAAAGCCACTCGAGGGGAAGAGTTTCTGGACTCCTTCGGCTGGTTGCCTCTCGTAGCTATAGCCATCTATTTCATGTCGTATGCCACTGGACTTGGACCGCTGCCGTGGGTGCTGCTGGGGGAAATGATTCCGCTCAGGGCCAGAGGCTTTGCCACGGGCTTCTGCACGGCGTTTCTGTTTGCGCTAGCCTTCCTGGTCACCAAATGCTACGACGACTTGGTGTTGCTCATGACAGCGGCGGGCACTTACTGGATGTTTGCGGGGCTTCTCGCCGTCGCACTTGTTTTATTTATATTTGTTGTGCCTGAAACTAAGGGCAAAAGCCTAGAAGAAATAGAGCTCATATTCGGCAAGAGCGACTCATCGGCCTCCCTCGACACTATGGACAAAAACGTCGAAATGAACATGAAATAGAAATGCTTGAAGCACTTCAATTCGTCGTGGAATAGACATCCAAGGTGCCATTCCTGCGCACCTGGCGCACAACAGCAAGTTCTGTAGAGGTGCCAAATATGCCGAGATTTTCTTTTTCTGAACTTTACCCCCTCAGTTGAGGGTACATTTTCTATGAGCACATTGCACTGCTCAGTCACTCATTAGTAAAACTGTTGTTGCTGTTTCTTCTTTAGATGCCATGAACGACGTTACCGAAACAGATTCACCTCGAAAAGTCCTCGTATCACGCTGCTAAGCTCTATGGCGTGGGCTGGGTTTTCGGTCACATTGGCTGCATTTTGATGCTAGCGAAATGCAGAGAACACGCGTGTGCTTACAAAAAGATACACGTTAAAGAACCCCAGCTGATCGAAATAAGTCAATACTCGCCCACTATGGTGTGTCTCGTAACTATATCGTAATTTTGTCACAACGCTGATTACCGTAAAAGCGGAACCAGGCGCATTAAAGGCGCCTCGGGAACGCAAAGCTTTATTTATTTATTTAATTCATGCCCCTCACTACTGTGTATGGTGCCATAAATTCATGCCCCTCACTGTGTATGGTGCCATAAAGCAAAGTACAACTGTACCAAGGATACAATAACGACTACTCTTCCTTCGTTTGTGGGATCCATTTCTTCGTGAACTTTCTGAGTTATGTTCGTCCAACAACATTCAAGTACCCAAGCTTCTTACACTCCGAGATCATGCCCTAAAGATAAACTACGGTCTCTGCATGTCGTGTGAATATGGTAATAGGATGTCCTTTGTGTTCTGTAGGGTTTCCGATTGCTCAATCATAAGTGATAGGAGATAATCGTTGTATGCGTCATGGATTTTGATGAGGGGATGTGGCTTTACCACCTATGGGTTATTCAGCTCTGTGTCCTTGAAAACGACCCGTACAGGTCATGACGTAAGCAATACAGTAATAGTAATAATAGGAGATATGCGTTGTGTGTGTGATGAATGCTAATGGAGAGATGTGGTTTAAACACGTATGGGTTATTCAGCTGTGTGTCATTGAAAACTACTCCTACAAGGCATGACGTAAACAATGTAGTAATAGTAATGATAGGAGATATGCGTTGTATGCGTGATGAATGTTGATGAACAGATGTGGTTCAAACACCTAGGGGTTATTCAGCTGTGTGTCGTTTAAAACGGCTCGTACAGGTCACGACGTGAACAATATAGTAATAGTAACAACTGCGCTTTTGTATACGCATTTATTTTTCCCCCAACAGCATTTACTATGTAAACTAGCTTCGATAAAGCCAAGTGATAAAAGGCCTTTGTCCTTATGAATTGTGTACCTGAGGATAATGCTACTTTTATGTGGGAAAAGATATGCATTTTACGTGCCCTCTGCTTCCCCCAGAGCACGTTAGAATCGAGTGCATTTTGTAAAGACTTCAGTTTGTGTAACATATCCCTTTGTGACATTAGTGATCGGCTAACTATGCATGTAGAATGTGTGCTTGTGTGATCTATTTTCTTTTGAGACCAACATGTATGCAGCAAGGAAAGTGTGTGAAAGTGTTCTGCAAGAGCAATGTATGATATATCACGATGCCCATACTGTTTTGTTGAAGTTTTTTTTTTTTTGTTTCGTGTTGTAATTTTATGCACTGTGTACAGGCCGGATTCTTATGTTCCACTCTCGGCCTTCTGCTTTTCTTTTTTTAGGCTAACTGTCCTTAGGTTCAGCATTTACAGTATTCAAACATAGCTTCGACCCATAAATGTAATATGTGGCCAGAAAACTCAAATATATAATTAGTGGGCACCTTTTTTTTTTTCAGAAAGCCCAGTCTCTGTGTACTAGATTACGTTGAAAACAATTGATGACTGTATTATTTTGAATTTCCCATGTGCATAGTTACCTGTATGTGACACTACCGATAGTACAAATTCGTCGTGTTGCACGTTTTCAATAAGCTGTAACTTAAATTGAGAAAATGATGCGATCTTAGCGGATGACTTAAGCATTTCATTTCATGTTACTGTACTTTTAATTCATTTTAGACAACTTTTTTAACTCGCATGAACGTACTGAATAATGTGGAGAACTGAACACTCAATCCCTGCAGTACAACTTGGAATGTTACTCAGAGTCATCGTGGAATGGCTTGGCCAGCACCGCAGCTACTTAGCCAACCATCCCCTAGCAATAATATTTTGGTATTAAGGGGGCACATCTGAAAGGTTGTCACTTTTTGTGTACGTGTCTTGTTTACGCTTGTCATCATATAAAGAAAGGCGTATTTTTATATTCCCGGCTTCACTTATTTCTTCGCTTTATCGTCCTACTTTCTTTTCGCACTAATACGTTACTGCGAAGAGTTGTCCCTGAAGGTCTCATCTCACAGGCAACTCACAAGACGAACCTCTGACGCTACCTCACAAGGGCGGGAATGAGAGCAAAGAGGAAGAGCAGTGAGTGAGTGAGTGAGTGAGTGAGTGAGTGAGTGAGTGAGTGAGTGAGTGAGTGAGTGAGTGAGTGAGTGAGTGAGTGAGTGAGTGAGGACATTATTGAGGTACTGAGAAAAAAGAATGTAATCAGGTGGCTACACCTAGGTCGGTACCGGTACACAGAGTCAATGAGGTTGACGACTTCGATTTCATTACAGTTCAATTTGGCTGCCCGGTTCGAACTATGCTGTAGAACCTAGCCCAGCTGCTGGAGTGGTTACTCGATCAAGCGTGCAGCATTCGGCGTAGTATTGCTGTATTGGCAATAAGAATGCCCTGTGAAAGTCGGGTGCTGACGTACAAAAAGCAGCACTGTCTTCGGTCAAATTCAAAGAACGAAGCAAACAGAAAGGGAGAAGGCAGGGAGGTTCACCAGAAAGGATTGTGAAAGGACAGGTATCCCCACTTAAGTGGTACTAGGCCCTGCTAATAATGTGATACAATGAATCAATGCATGTGACAAATGTGAAAACCCAGCAAGAAGTGTGTGAAATCAGGTTTGAAATTGTCGCAGTGATTGAGGTGTTTTCTACCGTTATGGACCAGGCCACGCGATCTACGCGGCTCGACACGCCAATGCAGGGTAGGCCGACGTGCAGCTGTTTGCGCACCGATCCGTCTTTGCCCTTGTACGTGGCTGCGGTACGTGGTGTTCAAATTGTGCAGCACAAGGAACTTTGCTTCCGCAGCTGGAAAGGAGAGTCGTGGGTTTCGCCGGTAGGTTGGGTGCACTGAGAGAGAGAGAGAGAGAGAAGGAGAGAGAAAGAGGTTTAATATGAGAGAAAAGCGCAGACGTCAGCCTGAATCAATTTTTCTACCTGCTACTCGGCGTTAGATAAGGGAATGAGGTAGAAAAGAAAAAAAGACAAGTTATTATTATTATTATTATTATTATTATTATTATTATTATTATTATTATTATTATTATTATTATTATTATTATTATTATTATTATTATTATTATTATTATTATTATTATTATTATTATTATTATTATTATTATTATTATTATTATTATTATTATTATTATTATTACATAGTATTGATTGTTGTGGTTCAACTTTCCTAACCTACCATATGATCATGAAAAACGCCGTAGTGGGGGGCTCCGGAAATTTCGACCACATGGGCTTCTTTGTTGAGGATAATGAGCACGAAAGCGCTGAAGGGTAGAAGCTCTGAAGTTATAGATAACATTCACAAAGAACCTATGTGGGTCGGTAGGGCTCCACTTAGGCCATTTCTAGCCTAAGTATCATAATGTGTTCCTCGCCGCGTATAAATGGGAGTCTTAAGCTTTCGGGAGCGGCGTTACGGATTAGGAGAGCTGTTCGGAAGCTTATACACCCTGGTTCACACACCAGGTGAAACGCGGAGGCTAGTGAGTTCGTAACAAATAATAGCCCAATGATTTTACCACCGTTCTCGTCTTGTATTCTAGGCCACTGTTTGTTTTCGCTTTTGGCATTTCATTTGCAGCCCACGTGTGAGCTCGTGCTCCGCTAGAAGCACCGTTAACCAAGGCCTATATAAATAGGTCGCGAAAGCTCGGGTGAAAAGCGATTCAGAAGCCATTGCCAGTGGCATCAGCATGGGGAGTTACGGGAGCTGCGATTAAAGCACGATCATGTGCGGAGGAAACAAACACTAATAGTGAAAAACCGAGTTTCATTCAATGCGGAAGCAATCAATTGGTTTTACAAGTGTGATTTATTTTCCGCAACAATATTATGCCGGTGTGATGAACAAATAATTTATGTTGGTTTTTATTATTAAAAAACGTTTTTTTTCTAACGCCCTCTGCCCATGCTATTATTACTCAGTGCAGCCCTTGCACTACGTTGGTATACGTGGCAAGTCTCGCTTGTAACATTCGTCCACGAACACACACGCCCTCACTTGTTTTAGTGTTGGGCGCTACCTTGCGTTCTTTGTTATGCATGAAAGAAACTGTTAGGTGAATTTTATTGTTGGTAAACGTCTTCAGTGCGTGCAATGTCCAGCGGGTAGCGGAACAATGCGGATCACATCTAAAGCTGAGTGTTCTCGTCGGTAGCTGCGGAAACGATGTGCCACGTGCGAGGATGCAGTAGCAACAAACGTATGCCCGGTGACCCACGTCTTATAGATGCGAAACAAGGACGATGGTTTGGGATTCACTGCTCGCTGGACTTCCATCCATCAATATGCTCGCAGCCCGGTGTCCTTCGTCGGCACGCAGTGCCTACTATTCGAGTTATCGGTGAGCAAATTGCCTAGTTATCTATCACGGTAAAATTCACACGTCTTCATTCGCATACGTATATAGTGATAATTTATCAGAGCATAATGCAATAAAGAAGAACAAAAATTAACAGCAGGGAGTGTCCACAATTTTTTTTTGCTCTCCTCACCATTTTGTGCAGTGCAATAAATTTTAGTAATTGTGACCATTCAATAAAACTAAAATGTCATCATTTTGGCATGACTAGGCGTCATTTCTTCCTGTTATAACAGAAGATCACAAGCATCGTGCTTGCTAAAGAACCTGCGTATGTGTGAAACAAATAAGCCACGCTGCAGATATCACATTTATACGTCGCTATGCTGTTGGCTGCCTTAATCCATCGGCGGAAGATGCCACGAACGGCGAATAAACGTTCGAGCAATAAGTTTCCTTGTAAAACCGAAGCAAACTGAACAGTAGTACACTTAAACATCACCCTTTAGTCATGAGTTTGTATTAGATTAGCTAGCGTTTACTTGAAGCGCACTCGTGGATGACCCACCAGCGATCGCCTTAGCGTGACTCCTCAACGATCAGGGGCCTATGAAAAGTAATTTGATATTTAATTTTGCGCTAGTGCACACAAAATTACGTCACTTGTTTCAGAGCTAGTGCGTCACATTCACTTTATTTTTTGTTTCGCCGGAAGTGTTCTCTCTTCACAGAGATGGCGCCAAGCACCATGAGCAGCTAATCAGCAGCCATTTTCTGCACGTATGGGCTTCTATGGAGCTCTCGCTACCAGTCTATATATACCTTGCGTTCACAACGACGAAAGCTAAGCGCTAGACGCGCGTACTGACGCATCTTTCTGGCCGAGCTTCTTTCATAGCTTCCACAGCGTTGTTCAACTGATATGGCTCATTACGGTAAAGAAGCTGCGGAGCAGACTGGCACAAGAGAACATAGTGTTAGTGCTCTTGTGTAGGTCTGCTCGGCCATTTATTCTTTACCATAATGTGTTATACCAGTTCAAGTACGGCGAATCAACTTGCTTAATATTCAACACTTGCGAATTACACTGCATTGTGCAATATGTATAAAACGGATAATAGGTACCACCAGAAAGTCACACCAACCACATGTACATAAAGCAAATGTGTGTTGTACTTCTCGACAATGTTTACTGATGTTAATATATATATATATATATATATATATATATATATATATATATATATATATATATATATATATATATTGTGAAGAAGAAAGAGCGTCGTTGGCAAGCAACATCGCCACCGCTTGGGTACTGGGTGCTGGGCTTGGCTCGCTCGGCTCGTGCTGATCATCGCCGGCATCTGCTTGACCGTTGCTCTTGCATGATCGTGTTTCTTCGTAGGACCACCGTCGCAACAGTCGTCAATAAACCCTTTTTCAATTGGTGGAAGGTGCTGACATTCCCCGTCGCCTGAACCTGGGTGCTGCCATTCGCCGTCGCCTGAACCTGGAGCTGCGCAACCGAACGCTACCTCCCATCATGGCTACCAACAACGCGCAACCTGACTCTTCCACTCCATCCCCCAGCAACCCCGGCGTTCTTCGTTTGCGAGAGCCCAAGGTCTTTAGCGGAGCTGATGAGACCGACGTGGAAGACTGGTTCACTAACTATGAACTGGTGAGCGCAAACAACAAGTGGGATGACGCGGACAAATTGACTTACGTCATCTTTTACCTCACTGACGTGGCCGAAATGGGGTATAACAACCACATAAACGACATCACGACGTGGTCCATCTTTAAAACCTTGTTTGCTGAAGTTTTTGGCCGACCCGCAGTCCGCAAGTCCAGAGCCGAAGAACGCTTGCGGACTCGCGCACAAAAGCCAACGGAATCTTTCACAAGCTACATCGAAGACATTATTGGTCTTTGCAACCGTGTGACCACCACCATGCCCGAGTCGGAGAAGATTCAACACATCCTCAAAGGGATAAATGACGGTGCATATCAGCTGCTCCTGGCCCGTAATCCTGCCACCGTTGCGGAACTTGTCACTTTGTGTCAAAGTTTCGACGAGTTGAACAAGCAGCGCGCCCTGACTCGGCCATTTTCCTCACACGCCGACTCGCTCTCCAGTCTCACTTCTGTTCCCGACCACTCACCAACCCTGCAAGAGATTAAAGACTTTGTGCGTGAAGAAGTAGCTCGGCAACTGTCGTTGATTCCCTTCACGCAGCAGCCGCCGTCCTCTCGTCTGCCCTCACCACTCCGCGACGTTATTGCCGAAGAGGTAGCTCAGGCTGTTCCCGTCGCTGCCCACCAGCAGCCTGTGGCCATGCCTGTTGCCCATGCGCCGGCTATGCAGCCCGTGGCCGCGCCTCTCACGTATGCCCAGGTGGTACGTAGCAGACCCCTCCAGCAGCATTTGCCACCCATGTCTTCAGTCGCTCCCCACTCCGCCCCATTTTCGACACCTTGGGCCGCACCACGAGTCAGCAATTCCTGGCGCACTCCTGACAATCGACCGATCTGCTACGCCTGCGGTACTCCAGGACACGTGGCACGATATTGTCGCCGTCGCTCCCAACCACTCCACGACGCTACTCGGCCGTTACCGTATGACCCACAGCCCATGCACATACCTGCTCCCTATCCCTCACCGCAGTATGGATACACTAACTTTCCTGAGTCTCGGTCACACCAGCCTCAAACTCACTCTCCCCGCTCCCCATCTCCTCGCAGGCGATCACTGTCCCCAATGCGTCCTAGACCCGCTTCCTCCAACCGGGAAAACTGAACGCCGCAGTTCCAGAGGCAAGAACTGCGCCGTCATCAAAATGCTCAAGTCCTCGCACTTCACCAGCTAACGTCGTCGCTATATCTGTCGATGGTGTTTCTACCTTTGCCCTCGTCGACACAGGTGCTGCCGTTTCTGTTATAGCCGCCCAGCTCTGCCGCTCCCTACGCAAAGTGACCACGCCGCTCTCTGGACTATCGCTTCGTACAGCTAGCGCACAACAAGTTCGACCTCTTGGCACCTGTACGGCCCGCATATTCATCCAAGGCTCTATGTACGTTGTCGAGTTCATCGTCCTTTCGGTGTGCTCGCATGACGTTATCCTCGGGTGGGACTTTCTGTCAAATCATCATGTCATCATCGACTGCGCACGCGCTGAAGTTCAATTTTCGCACCTGTGTGACGAACCTTTGCATGAAACCCTTGAGCGGTCGCCAAAACTTGTCGTGCGTGAGGACACTGAAATTCCGCCAGCCTCTCTTGCCGTTGTCCCGGTTTGCTGCGATGACTATAACGATGCTACAGTAATGTTTACACCTTCCGACATTTTCATGAGCCGCAGAGCCGTTTCCTTGCCTTTCGCTACACTCGACGTCACTGCGGGCCGAAGCAATATTTTCGTTCACAACCCCCTTTCTGCACCGCTTACGCTACTTGCCGGCGAATGTCTCGGTCGAGTGGAGTACCTCGATTCCTCTTTATTCCTTAGCATGCCAGACGAATCGTGC